CAGGAGCATCTGCACTAATGGAATAGGGCTTTGATTCACGTCTAAGAGAGGCACCTGCCAGAGAAATTGGACACACAAAACAACTGGGTGTCACTGACTTGGGTCTGGGTGCTCATCTCTAGTTATGGTGATGAGTATTTGTGCTTGCACAAAGGTGAATGCACCTAACTCAAAGTGTGTCCCCAGCATCCTTACTGAGAATAGGCGTGTTTGGGGGTTGTCCTGTGTGGAAAAACTGCAGAGGAACTGAGACTGGGGATAAGTGAGCCTGCTCCACTTTGACCTTTGTATACATTCCTTTCCATACTGTATTTAAACAAGCCTCAATTTGGGACCCCAGCACTTGCAGTCAACTACAACTATTACTGGTGCATGCCAAGGTTGTCTTTCAGCATGCTTAGCTGTGGCCATAAGGATTGCTGCCAAGGGGGCCTGTGTCACTGGCAATATGAGTTGTAACATCAGTATCCCCCCTGGTTTTGTGGCCTATTTCTGAAAGTTCTAATGGAATGAAAGAGTAAAACATGGGATGGGTTCTGAGTCAGCTGGTAAAAGCGTGGACACTGGAGGAAGAGGTCTGGGCTGTTCAATAGCTGAAAGAACTGAATTCTGCAGACTTGGGACCTTCTCTTTCTCTCCATCTTGGCTATCACAAGTAAAGGAGTTGGGGCAGCCCAAGGGAGGGTGGGCATCATTGTCTTCCTCCAGCTGTAGCAGGTGAGGAGTGAGGCAGCTTGAAGGGAGAAGGATTAATCTCAGTGCTCACAGTCCCTGTGCACATCTTAACTAAACCCTGTTGGTTTGTGTGTTCCAGTAATGAATCAAATGGCCACACAGTCTCGGCAAATTCATCTCTTTTATCCTCGCTTATGAATAAGGTAAGAGCCATCCATCAAACGCCTTTCATTCCCCCCACCACGAGAAATTAAAGCCGCGATAGCGGGGAGGGGGGGAGATGCGTTTGTTTTTTAATGTTTTGCCTCTAATAAGATGAGTTTGTACCATTTAAATTTTGAGACCATTTTTCATCGGGTATAATTTCAGAGCCACTGCTTACGAATTAATTTAATGAACTGGCTGAAGAAATATATTGCAGCCTCTGACACCTTTTTTTTTCTTCATCCTTTCAAGACAGAGGAGGATCTGAAAGAGTAGTTTTTTAATTATTTTTTCCCCCCATTTTTATTTCCAGAACCTGGCAACTTCTCTCTCTCTTTTTATAGTCCCTCATTTGGTTTATTTACTTAAAAACATTTTTTTTCCTTGGGGGAAGGGGAGGAGAAACATTTGTTTTTATGAACGAGAAGAAAAAAAATTAGAAGTTTTGAACCAAAATCATCAATTTCTGTCTCTCTGCTGTGAGTAATGGTGTCCAACAGAGCCCCCTTCACCACGTTCTAGAATATTTATTTTAGATAATGCACCGTTTCTTTTTCCGTACTTTTTCCTTAAATTATACATCATCTCAAATATATATTTCCCTTTCACATGATAAATTCTACTGTACCAAGATTAATTTTGCTGTTGTATACAACTGCCGTGGAGATGAGGGCAGCCTTTGAGCCATGCTTTAATATTCTACTGTGTGATGGGTTTTACAGGCATAACTATTGCCATCCCCTTGGCTCTGGGCATTACGTGTACCAAGGCCATATAACCCTCAAGAGAGGGCAGAGTGACTTTGCCTAGCAGTCTCTTCTTCCTTTCTCTCTTATTTGATCACTCTTTTTTCTCTGTGTTATTTAATTTCTGCATTTATCCTTATGTCACTATTCTCCTCCATTGGCTCTCTGTCATAGTGGGGCGCTCTGTTATACTGGGGGTTTGATATTCCCTTCTAATCTCAATTTCTTATTCATTCTTGCACATTGTCCCTTTAGAGATTCCAAATACACAGCTCTTCTTCTAGTGAGTAAATCTATTTAGTAAATCTGCTGACTGGGGTCCCAAGTCATTCTGAAGACCCCAGCTCAGGGAAATACTCTTTCAATAGCTACTTCACTTGAAAATCTCCAGGAGAATAGGAGATTTAAGTTTATGCTTAGAAATAAGGGTTTATTTGTGTGCAGCCCTGCATAGAATTCTTTATGTTGTGCAAAGGAAGTGTAGCACAGGTACAAAATAAGAATTCTTCAGGTTTGTTCCTTTTTCAAAGAAGGAATGGGATTAACTGATGACATAAACCGGGGAACAATAGAGCCCACTAATTTGAAGGAGCCTATTCCAAGACTAAGGACTGCAGAATCAAGCTCAGTGTGTTCAGGAGCACATCACACTTGCTTCTTCCTCTTGCTGCACACAGTTTCTGTTTGTGGAGGAATCCTTCACAATTCATGTAGGAAAAAAAAGCCCTTTACAGATATTGAATGCCCAACGAGCTCCAGTGGAAACAGACAACCTGAATTTCTGACTCCAGCCATAAAGAGTTGCAGTCTCCACACAGCAGCAGGGGCTTTACCTTCAGGGGGCATTAAGAGAGCCTCAAATAGCCAGGGTTCCTGTAGCCTATTGCTGTTTATTTAGGGGGCTGTCAGGCTTAATTAACTGGTATTTATAAAGGGCTTTGAGATCTTCAAGTGGGTGGAGTTTATGATGCAAGTGTTGGGCCCCATCCTGCATTTTATTCATGCTGTGAAATTCACTGTTATTACTGGAGGTAACTGAGAGTGCAACAAAGCAAGAAAGGGTCTGGGAAATCGTGCATTAACTCAGACAGATTTTCTCTGAACTTCTTTTTGAGTAACTTCTTGTTTCTATCCTGCACGTCATACACCTGGACCTCAAAACCTCTCTGTGTAGAATCTATCTGAAGCCTTTCACACAATGCAAGTTGTGAGTCCTGCTTTGTGGAGGATATGTCCATTAGGACAAAGAGACGTAATTCTGTTATTGAACTTAGCAAGAATTTTCCAGGAATTTAAGTGGAACCGGAATTTTTTCCCAGTTGAATGAGGTTTTTCCTCCCACACTCCCAAACATACCCGATAGTCACTTCAAAGAAGGAGACATCCTTATGGCTGGAATAAGTTGACTAAACAAACAAGACCTTAGTAGTTCTGTCACTAGCTCTGTGCTAAGAGACCAGCATTTTGTAGGAGCTACACAGAGCTATTAATGTTGAAGCCTGCACAACTTTTCCATACTCAGACAGGGTATGTCTCTCTTCACCTCAGTTTATCCATGTATGAAATAGACAGGATGCTTCATAACTTCACACAAGAGCCATGAATATTAGATGGGCACTTGAGTACTTCATAATAGTTGGGTAGAGGATGCACAGGAGTGAGATGTTACTAAGTTCTGCTGATGCAGTTGAGGCAGCCAGTGCAGACTTCTTGTCTTCTCAGTCTTTGACAACCCAGCTTGCCATGGGTCCGTCCTGGGGGTATCCAGAGTGGCAGTGTCCATGACTGTGTGCTGGGCTTGATGCAGTGTCTGTCTTCTTGTTCCAGATGTCCAAGACCAGTGCCAGCCTTGGCAACCTGCTGAAAATTAAGAAAGAAGGAGATGGCAGCCAAGCTGGGGCTGGAGAACCAACACAGTACTTGGGCAAGGCAGTGAAGGCACTTGTTCAGGAGAAGCTCTCTGAGCCATGGAAGATGTACCTGCGCCGGTAAGGAAAGCATGGAACTGGGAATAGAGGAAAGGGAAAATTACTTCCTTTGCAAAGTGGCTTGTTAGTTCACACTTGACTGAAGAGTTCTCTTGAATTTAAAGGCCTGATTCTGTGATATGATGATCACCTTCTGGAGTGCATTCGGTCCTCAGTCCCGGCCATCTGCAGTAGGTGTTAATGTCCTGTCAGAAATACACATAAGAGTTATTTTACAAAGGATCTTGAGAACCAGCTACGGGCACGGATCTCCACATGGTATCATTGGCCTGGGCTGCTTCGTGGGCTCCTCTTTGTGTCCCCAGCCTGCAAGTCCAGGGGACCCATGTCAGCTTGCTCTTGGCACTGAACTTCTGTTGGACCATGTCGAGTTGCTACACACAGATCACAGAAGCCTTATGTTTGCTGTTGCATTTCCTCTGATCACAGGAGTAGGCCACTGAAACAAAATCAGGAGTATAAAGAGTATGGGAACTGGGATGGTTTCTGCTGGTTTTGTTGTAGACAGGGAGGCTTGAAAGGAAAATGGAACAGATACAAAACTCACCCACACACAGACACATGCACATACATGCCCAGACAGACACATGCTTTGAGCATACACAGATACACCCAGGCAGACACATATGGGTTTGTGCTCTGACACAGACTGTTGCCTACAAATGCCTGTGGACACTTTATAAATCCCAGACTTTAATGGAGAAGACTAGAAACCTTTCTGGTCCGTCTGCCCCTGGCCAGTGTGAGATACTTCCCTGCAGTCCATTTGCATTTTGTCCAGCCTAATTGTAATTATGCCAAGCAATGTGGCTATTTTCTTGTCTCTGGGAGCATTATTCTACCACATAGTAACTCTCGCTGTCACGATTTTTTCATGGAATGCTGCCTGAATTTCCCTCTCTGTAATCTTGTTGCAGTTCTTCTGGTTCTATTCCCTCGAACCACAGCAGATAATTCCTCTCTGCAACTGGAGTTCACCCCCTTCAGATAGTCACACACTTTTAGCATCCCATTTAACCAAGCTTATTTACTTCCTTTAATCTGACTTTGTAAATTAGTCCCTTCAGCCTGCTGATCGTGTCATTGCTGTTGGCATTGTTGCTGTGCCCTGAACGGGTGCAGACCCAGACTGCCCGTCCTCCATCACCACACCAGACCTAACAAGCTTTCTGCCCCCGTAGATGCAGCTCACAATTGTGCTACCTTGTTTGCATCTATACTGCATAATGTATATGTATCATGTTTACCATCCACTGTTACACGGGATTGCTTTTAATGCTCTCATGAGTCCCCCCTGCATAAAACCACCCCCACCCCCAGATGTATTAGCTGTGTGCTTCCAGACAGAACTCTTGTATTCTCTACCTTCCTCCTCGTCTTGCGAGGCCTCTCAGCGTGATTTTTCTCCTCTTCCACTGGTGTTGCCAACTCCTCCCAGTTTAGTATCTTCTGTGAATTTCATTAACACGCTGTTTACTCCTTCTCCTAGATTACTAATGAAGATGTTAAATAAGCTCAGACCTAACCCAAGTCAGGCGCTCGCGGGATACCTCCTCCCAGCTCAGTGCTGTTTGTCATTAGCCTTTGTTTACGGTCCTTCAGCCGGTTTGCAATCCATGAGGTAGCATTCACATCCAGGCCAATTTGAATTAATTCTAAGCATATGCAAGACTGTTATCAAAATGCTTTACTAAAATCGAAATATATTGCATCCCTTCATCCACTAATTTTGTAATTCTATCAAAAAAAGCAATTAGATTTGTCTGGCAAGATTTATTCTTTATAATCCTGATGCTGTTTATTGCTCATGGTTCCTTTATCCTCTAGATGTTTAATGATTTTCTCCTCCCTCTTAATATTTGTTCCATTACTTTACTGGAAGGAGAAGTTAAGGCTAGAGGTATGATAACTGCCAAAGATCACTTGTCCTTTTTTTTCCCATGAAAGAATCAGTATCTAGATTTTTTTTATTATTCTTTTTTTTCTTTTTATTTCAACTTCCCAATAACTCCCTCTTCTCTATGGCTTAAAAAACAGCAAACAGTAAAGCAATCAGTTTGGGAGTTAATTTCCACTGGACTTCAGGACATACATCATCCAGACTGGCTGATTTGTGCATATTTATATTTTCCAACCAGTCCTTTTATCTGCTGTTCTAGAAGGTCTTCACTTTATCCTTAATTGTCTGCTTTGTCTTTAGTTTTCCTGTCCAGAGCAAATTTTATAAAGCAACCATTTTTGACCTCCCATTTTTATTGGGCTTTCCTGTTAAGCACAAGATCTCTTGTCCTTGATAAAACCACCCTTCAGCTTGCAGTAACTTGGTTTCTTACCTTTTACCACACCTTTACTTACCTTCACCTTCTCCCTAGAAGCCTTAACTGAGTGCATGTATTCTATATCCACTGACCTTCCTTCTCCAGCACAAGGTTTTCTTCCTTTTCCTTTACTCTCAAACTGGTAGGAGGCCCCTCCTGGGACCACACAGGCTGCTGTTTGTTTCTTGCTTTCCTGCTCATCAGAGCAATTGTAGTTTGTTGTATCTTAATTATACAAGATTCCCCTGTTAAGTTTCAGATCCTTCCTGCCAGTGTTTTTCACTTGATTTCTAGATTCCCTGTGATTCTGGAGTTTCCTGAAATCACGGGGATTTGTGCTACTCTTAGTAAGTCCAGAGAATCTCAGCAGTGGCTGAGCAGTGAAACCATGTTTAGTTGGTTTTGCCCTCTTGCCCATTTCCTCCATGACGACGAGAGGGGTATCTTAGCTGATGGCTTTTTCTCTGGTGTTTGCCTTGCAGGGTTGTTTCTTATGTATTTCAGGGATTGTGCTTTTCACTGTATATGCATCCTAGGCTGTAATTGTTATATAGGTGATACTTTATCTCTTCATCTATGTAATACTCTGCTGTTTCAAGGCAGGGGGTGGATGGATTCTGGATCTAGATCCGCTTGAACCACTGCTGTTTCTTCCCTTTTGCTAGTGCCAGTAAATTGAGAAAGAAAAGCAAACAAGATCTGTAATGTTACAGCAGTGTCCTTTTGATCTGGATTACCTTTACTAACCTGTGATCATTCTCAGAGCCTTGGCTTTTGTACATAGGTGCTCCAGAACACATAATGGTTTTCAGGTTTTGTTTCAGAGTCGTTCTGCATTTTGCTCCCACTAAAATGGGAGTTTCTTGGTCAAGTTCAATTGGAGAGAAATTAGTTTCTTGTTCTGCGTGTTCAGATCTGTAAAACAGGCACTAATGAAGCAACAGCACCAGTGCTGCATATGCCACAAGGACAGTGACATTAGAAAACACAGTGGTAGTAGAGCTGAAAACCAGTGTTCCAGCACTGCTTCTCAGCAGGGCCCTTCCCTAAGATGCTTGTTTGCTTTGGGCAGGTTTGGTACCAAGGACTTCTGCGATGCGCAGTGCGACTTTCTCCATAAGGTGCACTTCCATTGTGTGGTGGAGGAATGTGGGGCCCTCTTCAGCACCCTGGATGGAGCCATCAAGCACGCCAAGTAAGTAGCAGAGTCTTGGGAAACCTTGGGAAAACTCTACATCCCACACGCTGCAGGACAAGAGAGACCTTCCTGAGTAACTGTTCAAGAGCAGGAACATGGGCAGTCCTAAGGGCAGCAATTTGGGCACCCATGTGCTTCCTGTGTAAATGTGCTCAGCTAAAAGTTTTGCAGAACACTATGTTCTCTTTAAATTTGTTTCACAATAAATGTGTTCAACTTGTGAAAAAGTGTTGGCAAGGCTGAGAATTGGACATTTGTGTTCTTCCATAGCCTACTTGACAGACCATGTGTTCAAGGAGACCCAGATTTCTCACAGCACACATATATACCATCCAAAAAAATATATGGGAGGAGGAGGAGCCTGTAAACCCAACCATTGTCACTGGATATAGAATTCTTGTGGAGTAGACATCTCCCCATCACTGCAGTGTAGAAAGCATTTTATTGTTCATCTTGTCGTGACAGATCTCTTCTAACAAGTTTTCCCTGGCCTTTCATTTATATGGTTTTGTTTAAGAGGTTCAAAGCATGTGGATAAAGATCTTGAAATGCAGCAGTCAAACTGTCCAGCCCAACAGCAACCTCCTCCTCACCTTGCCACGTTCTTGTATTGTAAACCCTTTGTCGTTTCACATCGTTTTGGAAAGCAGCAGCCAGCCCAGAGTGTGGTAGCCAGGCATGTAGGTTAGAGGAGACAGCCTGTGTTACAGAGGCTGGACAGCATGCTCAGAACTCTAGATGGCTCTTGGGTGAAGAATGAATTTAAGATACCCTCCCACTGTGACAGTGAGGGGACTAGCAAAGGAAGGGTGGGATATTGGGAATTCTCCCCTTTGTAAATTTCCACAGAGCATGATCTGCAGTTCAAGACCACACCAAGTTCCTTTTAAAGGCAATGGAAGATTTGCCCAAATAAAGAGGGAGTAAGGCCTTCAGCAGCTGCGATGTGGATGATTCTGGAGGGGTTTAAAGGGAAGGAGATGATGTAAATTTTAAGACAGAAGAGTCTGTTAGCCCAGTTGGTCTCTGGTGTTGGATAGATCCCTGTGGTTCACAAAAACTTATGGCTTCACAACAGCTGTGGGAAGCTGCCCTCAGAGGCATATTGATCTCACTGACTGCAGAGCTTCTTGTGTCTGATTTCAGCATGGTTTTGCACCTTTCTGTCTCCACCCCTCTTAATAAATTCCCTTCTCTTCACAGACAGTCTAAGAGGCCTCTATATATTTCCACAAAGTTTGCTGAGCCCCTTTTAGGATTTCATCTCAGCCAATTTGTTTGCAGACTCCTACCACACTCCTGTTTATGTTTAATTGAGTTCAATGCAATGGCCAAGAATTTATGTCCACGTTACTGTGTCTCTTTGCAGTTTTCACTTCCGAACTGAGGGTGGAACTGTGAAAAGTAACTCCGAGTCTCCCTTCTCAACCACTGCTGAGAATAAGGCTTCACTGGCCCCTTCATCACCATCTGCTACTTCTGTCACCATGGCAAGCGCTCCAGCCCTCGACGTGCCCACTCCAAGTCCAGCCACCGTGCCCTCTGCCCCCACACTACTAGCTTGGAAGCAGCTGGCTTCAGCTATACCCCAGATGCCTCAGATCCCAGCATCAGTGCCTAACCTGGCAACGTCACCCTTGGCAACGACTTCCCTGGAGAACGCCAAGCCTCAGGTCAAACCCGGATTTCTCCAGTTCCAGGAGAAGTAAGTTGTAGATGCTGCTTATGTCCTCTCCAGCCTTGCAATCCCCTCTGTACCACTTCTCAGAGCTGTAGTGTTACATCTCTATTCACCCACTGAGACACCTTCTGTCTTCCTGGGCTTTCTCTCACAGAAAATTTACTTGTACAAAGTCTAGAAAATACCTTCAGTTTTCCTAGGAGAAAGAGCAGGATCAATGAGTACTTTTAGGTATGAATTTAGAGGAGAAATAAATTTGCTGACATATCACTGATCCTTCTTTATGCCTCAGAAGAGGTGTACAGAAATACATGTGTTTTTATAGTATTTTTGACACTGAAAGCCACAGAGGAAGCACAGCATCTTTAAAGTTTTCAGTATGAAAACCTGAGTAGCCCAACTCCAGATCTTGCTGCAGGGATTCACTGTGAGCTTCTGTAGTTGAGCAAAATTCGGGGGCAATGGAGTGCTCGGTCATGCAAAGGTGATGTGTTACTGCAGCAAAGTACACAGAACTAAGGGTAGATATTTACAGATAGCTGAAAAGGAAGGTTGATGGATTTCTCCTGGATTTGTCCCCAGTAAGCTCTTCCTGGGAATGCCAACTGGAACTCAGTGTAATAGAGCTTCATTGATTTTTTTCAGTGAAGAAGACTTGGGGGGTCAGATAGTGGAGGGGGAACAAGTGGTTGGGCTCTGCTTGTCAGGAAGGAGTCTCTCAGCAGCTCAGGGAATAGGGAGCAATTCTCTCTCACTTCAAATCTCTCCAAGTTTTGCTGTCCTGGCTGAACTTCTGCACAAGTGTAATGAGTCTCTTTAAATCCTGTGCCTCTGGTTTTGTAGTGTTGGTTTACAGAGTAATCCACAAGGGAGGTGTCTGGCAGAAGGAAGTGTACCTTGCTGGACTTCTTTACAAACATTAAAGAAGTTTCACAGTGTTGGTGTTATTTCTGTTGTATAGACAGAAAGAGGCACAGAAGTTCTGTAGTTTATGCAGGAGTCCAGGCTCAGCTTAGGCAACGGTGCTCAATGATTCAGGCTGGTGGAGTCTCAGTCTCAGGGTCATGTATTGACAGTCATTTGCTTTCAAAGAAGTGTATTAATTCAGTTTCACATAACTGAGTAGGTATCATTTGGTACAGTGCTTGGGATCCAAGAGATCAATGTTCACCTACCTCCGATCTGACCTCTCTTTGTGCAGCCAGAAATCCATGG